TTTTTTTTTTGTTTTAGTTTGGTGTTAGTTGCTTTGTCTTTTTTGTGTTGCAAATATCTAGGAATATTAAAAAATGATTTCTCTGTCATGGCCAGTTTGCCCACAGTGTCTCAGCCTTCTTAAAATAAGTGTTTTAAATATAATTGTAGAAAACATTTTAGATAATGGAGGTGACACTTTTGTCTTATGGACTATGGGGAAGACTTAGAGATGGAGGGAATGAAAATACAAAAGAGAGATTAAAAAACTGATGAGTGTGCTCCTGAGATCACCTGAAAGCTTGAGTACAAAAGTGTTAGGAGAAGAGGACAGTTTGGCTGATAGGTGTAGTAAAAAGATTAGTTTCTTTCAAACTGGTTTTTGTTAGTAAGCTGAGGAATAGTACTTTTGGTCTCTTCAATTTTCTTAGTAAATTCCAATGTGAGTTTATCTGCCAGAGAAAGTGAGATAGGTTTAGGGGGGTTGAGGAAGAGATTTTGGAATGGTTTGGTGAAAAATGGGAACAGTATCTAACCAGAGGCATGGAAGTAAGTGCTGTCTCTTAGATTAAATTTGACAGACTCCGATTTTTAAAGTTTTCAGTTTATCTTTTAGCAACTTAGCTGTAAGAGCAGAGAAGGTGGTCTTTTTAATTGATCTGAGGTGAGAATTTTGTAGGACAGTATTAGAGCATGATGAGGGGATGATTTTGATAAGGCATGAAAAAGAAAGAGTGGTTCAAGGGAAGCATTTTAGGATACCAACTGTCTAGGCAAGAAAATCACATTGTTCAGGTGCTAATGGAGTGGGAGAAGGGAGGACTCAAGGAAACCTTGATCTCTTCTAGGTGGAAGCAGGTATGAGAAGAGTGAGAAAATGAGAGATGGACAGGAGATTGAAACTATGTGGTATATTGGAATTTAACATTTCAGAGCTAGAACAATTCTAGTTTATTGTAAAGACCACATTGTAGCTATGAGAGTACAGTGATGAAAAATATTGGAATAAAAGAAGTCTAGAAATGGAGTGTGCTATGGTAAGTATAGTCTACAGATACAGAAATCACCTGTAGTGATGGCAAGAGTTGAGCTGTTGGGGAAAGAGTTAACCACATAGGTAGTAGAACAAGGGAGATTAGTTGATGGCAACCTCATCTGAAGAAGTCAGGGTTCAGACTAGTTTAGGAGAAAGGAAAAGAGGGTATAATCTGGGAACTTTATAAAGTCTTACACTTGGCATTTGTCATTGTGAATACTGTGGATTGGGTAAACTTCTTTAAAGAGCCAGTAGTAGATCTTTTAGGATATACTACTCACATATGCTTTCAGTTGCGTATTCTTACTTGTTTTTGTAACCTTTTAAAGATAAAAACCATTCTTTGCTCATGGCCACACAAAAACAGATAGTACAAAGTTTGCTGACTCATAAGTATACTCATGAATTCTGTGACTATATTTTTCTTTGACTTGTAAGTGGAATTTTACTTTGTAAAATTTGTGCACAGTTTTTAAAACCTGACTATACATGAGCAATAGTAACTTTGAGTTGGATAGTGTTAAGAAGATAATATATGTTTATTTTTAGATTGTTGTCATTAGAATTGATTTATACTTCCAATTATGGTAATTATTTTACATTTCTAAACAAAACTTTTGCTTTGCTTTTTTGTGTGTTGGATTCAAGTTGAGTCAGCAGATACTGGAGTTATTTGAAACATGTCAACAGCAAATAAGTGACTTAAAGAAGAAAGAACTCTGTCGAACACAGCTGCAGAGAGAAATACAGCTGTTATTTCCACGTATGTTTCCCTGTTTTGCATGCCCTTTATGCCTGTGCATTCCTACTTTAAATTTTAAATAATATCTTATAATATTCTGTTTCTCTAGAAAGCAGACTTTTTTTGGTTGGGTCCTCTTTAAATGGATTTGGTACCCGGAGCAGTGATGGTGATTTATGCCTAGTTGTTAAAGAAGAACCAGTGAGTAATGCAACATTTACTCTTAAGTGTGTTTCTCATGTTATCTAATGAAAGAAATTTCACAACAAAGTTATTAAGGAAAAGAACTTTCTTTATTATTTATCTTTTGGATTTTCTGTTTATCATAATTTCGGAATACTGCTAAAGCAGCCCCATTAAGGTGCTGAGGTCTCTTCTGAACTACTGAGGCTTAAATTAAATTCATTAGAATTTTAATGTTCTTTATTTTGTTCCACATCTTTAAAAAAGCAAAAAAAAAATCTGTTGAACAATGAATATTTTTAATATTCATATTAACTCCACTAATATAAAATGACTTCTAAGTTACTACAAATTAGAAACAAATTTTTCCAGGAAAGAAAGTAGTATTTTTCTGTGCTTTGAAATATGTAAAGAAAAGTAAGAAGGTACAAAACCCTTCAAATTCTAAACACAATGGATATGGCAAGAGTTGTAATTAACACTTTCTTATGCAGTGAGACTATGCTCAGGCACATCTTACTAATCCTCTAGTCTTAATCATGTGTTTGCTTATACACAGACTGAGACACCAGTACTGAAGGGGAAAAATGGCATTTGGCTGTTTCAGAATTCTTTTTTTTAAATTGTGCTTTATGTTTAAAATCAGGAATTGATTTAGGAACATGGATGTGAAAGAGTGCACTAAAGGCTGTCTTTTCCAGAAAAAGTATACCTTATTTGTTTTCTTTTTTGTTGAATTACTTTAAGAAAGTGAAACATTAAACTCTGAAAAATAATGGGAAAACACTTTATTTTTAACTTTTCAGTGTTTTTTTTCAGGTAAATCAGAAGACTGAAGCACGGCATATACTCACCTTAGTCCATAAACACTTCTGTACTAGACTTTGTAAGTCTGACATGCCTCAAGTTCATATGTCACCTGACATAACTATTTATTTCAGATGTCTTTCACTTTATTTTCAGATAAGAATTGTTTATCTTCTGGTCAGGTTAGCTATAACATGAATCTTTTTTCTTCCAACTAAATTCCTTTAAAAATTTTTTTTTATAGCCCATGCTGGCCTGGAAGTTGCTATATAACCCAGGCTGCCCTTGAACTTGATATCCTTCTGCCTCACCTTTCTGAGTGCTAGGATTACAGGCATGTACCACCACTGACTCCTTTTAACTTTTGCTTAAAAAATGTGACCATTTATTCAATAAATCTTTATTGAGCTTACTTGCAAAATTTTCCACTGGATGCATTGAGGGATTCAAAGATATATAAACTTCAGTTCTTTTTCTCAAAAGGTATATACAGTTATGAAATAATTGAATCAATAAATAGCTGTAATGCAAGATATCTGAGTAGTCCAAAGAGTGACATAGATAAAGTCTTATAGGTATTATTGTGAGGGAGAGAATTTCATCTGTTTTATAATAATATGCATTTTTACTGATTTAAAAAATATTCCTGAACATGATTCCCAAACGTACTACTCCAACAGAAAGCAAAATTGTTGACTTAGGCTCTTTTGGGCAAGTGCTCTTCCACTTGAGTCATACCTCCAGTCTAGTAATAATGTTTCTCTCACAGAGTCACTCACTCACTCACTCACTCAATTACTTACTGGAGGTTTAATTCAGGGCCTTGTGCTTGCTAAGCAGCCACTCTACTACTTGAACCATGTTCCCAGCCCTTTTTGCTTTTATTTATTCATTCATTTATTGGGATATAATCTCACGTTTTTGCCTAGGCTGACCTGGATTGCAGTCCTCCTATCTGTGCTCTGTCATAGTTGAGAACATAGGTGTGTACTGCTATGCTCAGCTTATTTGTCGAGATGAGGTCTTGCTAAGTTTTGCCCAGGCTGCCTCAACTGCAGTCTCCTGAGTAACTGGGATTATAGGCATGCACCACCACACAGAGCAGAGTTTTTTTCTTTAATAAGCTGATTCTAAATGGATTTTAATGTATATATTATCCTATCAGAATTAATTTTAAGTTCCCACAGAATATTTGATGGACTGAAAATATGTATGTAGGCTGGGCACCTGTGACTTACACCTATAATCCTAATTACTTGGGAGGCTGAGATCAGGAGGATTTCTATTTGAGGCCAGCCTAAGCAAATAGTTCACAAGACTCCCCATCTCCAAAATAACCAGAACAAAATGGGCTGAAGTGTGGTTCAAGCGGTAGAGTTCCTGCTTTGCAAGTGTGAAGCCCTGAGTTCAAACCCCAATCCCATCAAAACACAAAAACAAAAGAAGTATATAAAGAAGTATATATGTATATATATATA